ATTATGCAGGCATATGATTCGGCTGGTCAGACAGTTCCAGCATCTATTAAATGCCATTCAACGTGATCAGTGGCTACTTCTTGGGCAGCACTACGGTGAGTGCCCCTTTCTGATATATGTGCAGCGGCTACATGGTCGTCACCTTGCACGTTCACAAGATTCTACAGGATTAATGTGGCACCTATTCCTTTGGTCAGTTCTGCTGTGTTAGCGGACAGTATCTAGGTAAGCGGCCCTCGTGACTTGGTTGTATTCGTCTTCCACTATGTTCGACCGTCTCTGGCGGTCTTCCAGTATTCATAGAACCAAGGTTACACCAGTAACCGGCGAAGTGGTAAACAAAAAGGTAATAAGTTATTAAGAGTTTTAGGGATAAACTGTACACAAAGGAGGGTGTGTCTTCCAGGCAAATGGCACTCTGCCCCCAAGAGGTGTAAACTCTGAATGCAAATTGCTATTGTTAGCAAATGTTTCTGTCTATATAATGAAATGCAGCAAGAGACTCGGGGGATTCTGTAACTCAGAACAGCCCGTGATGTGAAGTGGAACCAAAACACTTCGCATCACGTATTTTATAATGTCAAGGTATTGCATCTTCTCTCTTTATTCCAGAGCATTTGATTTTTTGTATCTAGTATCTTTGAACTGATTATGAAATTGGCATGATACATTTACCTGACATAATAAATTGAAAACGTTTGATTTTTATTCTAATCGACTCTGAGATTATTTTCAGTAAAGAGTTAAAAAGAATAGTCAAACATTCGCTCACATTTAATAATGCACAGATATCATTATAACCTTTTCATTTATGGAGTCAGATTAAATAACGAGTTAGTACATGAAAAAAATGATTTAATTTAATCAAATTACTCTGCCACGCTGAAAGACAGTAACTCGCAGAGACCTTCAACCGCTGATCGAATGCCGCCATTGGCTCTATTGAGCCGGGTAAATCTTCACCTATTTTATCATCTCGTCTTTCCAGGATTTGAAAGAGAAAACAGAACCAAACAGAACAGCTTCAATATGCAACATTTATTTATGGATTAAACCATTACACATTCAGGACGTAATGAATGAGACATGAGTAGTCGACTAAAGGTCAGTCAAGCTGAATCATGGTGCCATTCCTGTGTTACTCCTGCAGATTTTTATTTAACATGGGCCTTGCTTCTGGATCAAGATTTTAGTGTTTGATCCCCTAAAAAGAGAGAGATTAAATTGAATAATATTAAAGTCTGAAAGTGACAGACTCTAAACCGTTTTTAAACCTACAATACTTTATTTTAAAAAGCATGCTTTTTTAAACTCACTTGATGGCACCACACATCATGCATTCATTGCCGTAGGTTATTCCATTGGATCCACACACAGGTGAATATTCCAATGTGCATATGTTAGAAAAGGACCTGCATTTAGGCTGGTCACATGAAAAGAAAAAAGAAAAAACCTTGAGTTATATGCACCTGGAGGGAAGCAATTCTACAGCCTGTATTTACTCACCACTCTTGCTCCATCAGATATGGCCACTGTTTGTGTCAAGAAGGAAAAACAAAGATTAAAGTTTATCATGATATGGCAAGAGGAAATAACATGCTAACTTCTTGTTTTGCCCATGCAAAGTCTACTGTTGTTTTGTTGGATAAAACAGAACTTATTTTAATAAAAGTTATTTTATTTTATTTTATTTTATTTTTGGGGGGAACTATCCCTTAAATCACACTTTAAAATGTTTTAATGTGACTAATCTTATGCATTTTTCAATTGTCCTACTTTAGCAAAAGTGAATTAAGACTCTAAAGAATGTGCAGACTAAACAATCAAACTCTTTATTATGAACCAAATTAGACTGTTGCTGAGTACCAGTGTGTATCGCAGGTCCTCATGTGGCAACATCCTAAAATATCAGTTGTTTTGTAAATGAAATTATTATATTACTCACCTAGGACGCAGAGAAGGACGATGATTCCTCGTGCAAACATTATTCCTAACTTGAGATTCAACGATATGATCAGTGATAAAACGATCCGGCTATTTATATCAATACTGTATCCGCCTCTTAACGTGGGAGAGGACCGTCCATCCCACTGATTCATCACATCACAATTACTAAGCACCTTTAGTTTAATAGATGTATTTACTTTGGCTGGGAGGTGTGTGTAATGTCAAATGAATAATCACTTCAGTTGTACAAAGTCAATCATGGATAACATATACAGTTTAATCTCTCTTATTCCACCAAGTCATTCAGTTCCTGTAAAACTACTCAACTAGGGAACTATTTTCTAAGTTCTGAACTTCTTCTAAAAAGATGTTCTGGACAAGTACAAAAATGTTACACATATTATCACATTTTTGTCTTGTCTTGCACAAAATGCACAAAGGCCGAAGGTCCTTTTTAGTACAATTAATGTATTTTTAGTGCCCCATTAGAGATCTCCACTGATTTGTGTTTCATTTGACACAGTAGATCATGACTGTAAGGATCCACTGGAGGCAAGTTGTAGCGAGAGAACCCAAGTGCAGTTTATTCAAAACATATCATGAAACAAAAACATGACGTGGCATGAAACAAAACCGTGGACATAGACTTACGCAACAGTGGTCACAGAAAACAATACTTGACAAAAACACATGGCAAACATGAGGGCTTAAATACACAGACTAATGACAAGGGACACCTGTGAACAATGAACAGACAATTAACCAATGACAAGACATGGCAGGATCACATGACGAACAGGGAATCACATGGAACATGACATGAACAAACCAAAACTTGACAGAGACAAGACCAAATCGTGACAATGACATCTTTTTGCAAAGACTTGATCATGTAGCTGGGTTTCACGGATCTGTGCAGAATTGGTTTGCATCTTACATTAAGGACAGAACTTTTTCTGTTCATTTGGGGAAATGTTTAATTAATAAATGTTAATATAATTTATATGCAGACGACACTCAGCTTTATCTTCCTGTTAAAAACAACAATTGTTCTCTGTCTCTAATCTGTTTGCATGTCTTCAAGACATTAAATGCTGGATTTCTTACAGTTAAATAGTGATCAAACTGAAATAATTGTTTTTGGCCCAACAGTTCTGTCTTCTGGCATTGTTAAAGGGTTAGTTCACCCCAAAATGAAAACTCTGTCAGTAATGACTCTCCCTCATGTTGTTCAACCCCGTAAGATTTTCGTTTATCTTCGGGACACAAATTAAGATATTTCTGATTAAATCTGAGAGCTGGATCACTCCTCCATAGGCTTCTAAGGGATCGAAACTTGCCGGCCCAGAGAGTTATTAAAGACATCGTTAAAATAGTCCGAGTGACGACAGCGGCTCAACCTTAAGTTTATCAAGCGACGAGAATACTTTCTGTGCGCAAAAAACAAACAAAAATAACGACTTTATTCAACTATTCATTTCCTTCTCTGTGGGCCTCGTAGTTGCGTAGTTGCGCAGCGCTTCTGGGTTGTACGTCACACGCATCACACACACACACACACACACATGACCAGCGTCGGCCAATAGTGAGCCTACGTGTGACGTACAACCCAGAAGCGCTGCACTGTTACACTACGTGAAATCTCACGGCCCACAGAGAAGGAAATGAAGAGTTGAATAAAGTCGTTATTTTCAATCCCACATTGTCGTTTTTATTCATTAAGTTATAAATCTGTTTGAGGGTGTACATTTTTTATTTGTCCATTTGTTTTTTTTTTTATCTTCACATGTCTAAATTTGTTTTAAGTTTGTTTTACATTTGTTGTACAGCACTTTGGTTTCAACGTCTGTTGTTTTTAAATGTGCTTTATAAGTTATAAACTAAACTTGTCCATTCCAAGTCTGTTCATTTAATGATTTTTTAAAATATGATTTCAGATAATAAATATCTGAAACCATTTGCATGAGGCACTAATAAAATATCCAAAATAGGGCCCGAAAGTATAAAACAAATAACTTTGATCATCATCATCATCATCATCAACCTCAGGAACTCCAGTATTTTATGAGATGATTGTATTTTCTGGTCATTGAGGTTTGCAGTTTTTGTCCCTGTTGGACATGTGAGAATACTGATGTGACGAGCATTACTGATGGATTTCTTCATAACATTGCCATGACAATGTGAAAAATGTTAGCCTAGGACTTGGATAGTAGTTTTGCATCTTGACCTTATGAAATTTATATTAGAAGGCTTCACATAACGATTGTTAAATTATATTTAGACAACAGCAGTTCAATAGATCATATTTTGCACAGTTGAAACAGATTCAACTCACAAACTATTTCATTAAATCAACAGCAGTATTTGATGTTCTTTAATGATTATGCGTCATGAATGTTCCCTTTGAAGTTACACAGAAGCATAAAATTTTAATAAATGTAATAAAATTTACCTTAGTTATAGCCATAGGCTATCAAAAGTGTTTTATGTAAAACAGCCTGTCCTGTTTGTTGTAAATATTTAGGGTATATGAATCATGTGGGACAAAGTTTGTTCTCTTGCCTTCATTTGGCATCATTTAAACAAGTTATCTTTGTGCTGTTTGATTTGGACTAAGTGATTTGAAAAAAAGTTACCTCAGTTTCATTTTCCCATCACTCAAAGGCTCTACTAGAAGTTAAATTAGACCGTTAAATCAAACTTTGACATTACCATTGTTTTATGGTGTTCACACACTGATCCATCACCCATTTCTCTCTAAAGCAAATGGCAAACATGCACAATGTTCTATTACCTCATTGAATAAGGTCTCATGTCCTACTGTAGATGGACTGTTTACTCGAATCCAGTGTCTCAATACTCCTTTGTGTGTGTTTTTTTGTGAGTGACAGATTCAGCTGAGAAATGCTCCTGATACAGATTTACACTTAAGACAAAAAGTACAAAGCAACAACTTACTACATAAAGGCTTTATTTAAGGATTAGAACAATTAATAAAAAAGACACAACAGGGAATAAACACTTCATCTCATCATTAAAAAACTTTTTAAAAAGCAGCATGTGGTTCCAGCCTTCATGTCATCCCAAATATAAACGAGTGGATCGGTCTCAGCATTCTCCCATCCTGGATATCGCAGTGTTCACCTTGACCTCCCTATGACAAGACAGACAAACAACAAGGTTTCAGTAGGACACTAGTAAGAACATCATGAGCATTCAAACTGAAACGTTAGAAACTTGATTTACATGTTTTCCAGACACAGCATGCACTCGTTTGGGTAAGTGACTCCATCAGTTCCACACACAGGGTTAAATTCCCGGGTACAGATAGGAAGGAAGTAATCAGAGCACTTTGGCTGTCAAGGGAAGCACACAGAATACATGAAATACATGTAATTAGTGGTTAAATTAAGGTTATAACTACTAAGGAATAGTTTATAATCATCAACCCACCACTTTAGAGCCATCGGGGATCACAGCTGCGCTTGCCAAGGCTGTATAGAAGAAACACACACAAAACATAACTACGTGATATGAAGAGTCTGCTTTATAATTCTTGTGGTTTGAACTTTAAAAATAACGTCGTCTTTGTTACAACACACGCTTAAAACATCAAACTTTGATTATCCTTAGTGCCAAAACCAGTGATAAACTCACCTGCCAAGCAGAATACTACACAAATCCGTCCCAGCATGATTGTTTGTTTACAGCGTTGTGTTGACTATGTAATCAATCACTTTCAGGTGTGGTGAGATCCTTTATTGCTCTTTATACCGTTTATTACTCCCGCCCACAGATAAGTTAGAAATTTACAAAGTGCGTCAATCGAATTCTACTACGCCAAAGGCTTGGCTTTTGAATATTCATTAATAAGCCTCGCTGATTGGCTGACAACCAGACGTGCGTAAGAGGGCGGGTGTTAGCGTGGCGAATAAGAATTAAGGAAGGCTCGGCTAATGAATATTGTTTTTGTTACGTAAGCAACGTCGGCAGCATCTAATTAATAATCATAAGCGATTCGCACACCTGTAACTGTAATAGGCACACCCATATTCGACTTTACACTGAAAATAATTGTTATAAAATTATATTAATGATTATGCTTCGGCTGTAGTTCAGTCAGTTTTCAGTGAAATGTTACACTAGAGCGAGACTTTTATTTTGAAAATGGGGGACTCTTCACTGCTACATTTGCTCACTGTATCTTTGTTTACATTCCCTGCTCAATCGCACCAAAGACACTGAGATGAGTCCACTTCATTCCCACATGGAAACAGACATTTTATACAATACCAGTAATTAATAAAGCCTTTTTTATTACAGCAAGTGGATGGGGAGGTACGTGTTGTGTGTCGTTCGTCCTCACCTGAGGAAAGATACACTTCTGATACAGTCAGATAGTCAGATGAAACGAGAAGCTCTCGGTCACTAGTAGACTGTAAGACTTTACTGTATGAAATCTATCTATCTATCTATCTATCTATCTATCTATCTATCTATCTATCTATCTATCTATCTATCTATCTATCTATCTATCTATCTATCTATCTATCTATCTATCTATCTATCTAGAACAGCAGTTGCATAACTAAAGTAACAGTGAGTAATGATGACATAGAGGAGCAACTATTTCTCAGTGATGGCTGCATTGACTTATACTTTAATCCTTTCATCCTCTACTCATTCTGTTTTAGGGTTATATCAAGATGGACCAAACAATGCGAGATAAGCTCTCACAACTGGTTGAGGAGTTGACAACCTCTGGAGAACCACAGTTGAATCAAGACAAAATGAAGGAAGTGAAGAAAATGTGCAAGTATGATATGGAGTTTTTGGTTGTATCGTTTTGTTCACAAACACCGTTTCACAGTTAGAAAATAAAATAAAAAGTCATGTGAATAGATTCAGAACAATCTGGGAAAGATTTCATGGGAACACGAATGGGGACGTCCCATATGCACATCTCATTTGAAACCATTTTACTGCAGCATTTTGGAGATAAATGATTTTTTTTAATTCAAAGGCCAATAAAGACCTAATTTCTTATAAGTAGAAAAAAACGAATGACCAGTTCTTATAGGGGACATCCCACACATTATATGCACACCTCATATGAAACCATATTACTGCAGCGTTTTGGAGCTTTATGACAATATTCCATTTCATACAGCTATAAAAACCTCATTACTAAGACGTAGGCAAAATGAATGGCCAGTTCTTATAGGGGACGTCCCATACTATATGCACACCTCACATGAAATTATTTTACTGCAGCGTTTTGGAGATGTACGTCATTATATCTCCAAAAAACACCACTCTTCCCAACAGAATATCTCATTTGTTTTGCTGATAGTGAGAGATTTTGCCCCATTACATCCACTGCATTAGTAAAAGGCCTTTACCCTAGTCTAAAGCCGGTTTAACGTTACCCGAGAGTGAAGGAAGAGTTTAAACTGGTTACAATCTTTTGCTTAACTGTCATGCACTTTGTGCTGGCAACCAGGTGTGAGACAAAAATGCTTCCACAAATTTTGATTTCAGACAGCCATGCTATTATCACAGTACAGTGCATCAAAAACGTTGGGTTACACATATTGGGTCACTATGTTGGGTTATTTTCCAAAAAAAATAAATGTTGGGTTATTTTTAAAACCTTTGGGTGATTTCTAGTATTAACCCGGCTGTTGGGTTAATTATGTATGTTGTGTATTTTGAATTTATGTAGCTACACAATTATGCATATTTACATTAAATTCTAGACTCCCCAATATTTAGCTTGTATTTATTTGTTGAGACATATTTATTGTTTTATACAAAAAAAAAACAATCTGTTTTTGAAAACAAAGTGTATTTTATTTATCAAAATAATGTCATGAATAACAATAAATAGTTAACTGTTGGGTTATTTTTAACCCAACATTATTAAGTGAGTAGCTTTGGTAACCAGCTCTGCCCAAAGTCTTCTTGAGAATAGAGAACTGATTGTCCAGTCACAGGATGAGGAGCTGGCCTTGCCCAGCGTTTATTTAGCAGTGTTTGTCAGTTATGAAGATACACATTTATATGTCAAATTTCATTTATAAGCAAGTAGTTTATTATCGGTATGTGGCTGTGTGTTTGTGTAGTGTTTGTTCTTGAGTCCATAGAGCAGCATGTGACCATGTGCGCCTTCTTAAACCTCTTCTTTTCTGACCACAGAGTTTCCAATGACTACATTGATCATTTCTACCACTTGATTATGACCCAGCTGAACCAAGAGCACGCAGAGATCCGGCTCTCTGCCTTCCAGATGCTCAGTGAGATCTTCAGCCGGTCGCATCACTTCAGAGGTCTTCTCATCACAAACTTCCAGGAGTTTCTGGAGCTCACAGTCGAGACCGACGCCGAGCAGCCGCTGCCTCCACCCAAAGAGGTGGCCAGAAAACTCAGGACACTCGCCATCCAGACGGTGCAGTCATGGCACGCCACGTATGGAGAGGCGTATAAGAAACTCTCTCTGGGATATCACTTTCTTAAGCAGATTAAAAAGGTATTCATCCGGCTGCACCTCTTCTTTAATTACAGTATTTAATAATAATAACATCAGTTTGCACCCTGGAACACGTCACTGTTGTTATGCAATTAAAGATTGTTATAGAAAAGATATTGTGTTCTAGTGGAGTTTAGCTGTATAAGTAAGAATTTTTAGGAATAGTATTTTTTTGTTAAAATATTATGTTTATTTTTACTTGTTTTAGGCAGATTTAAAATTGGTAAACATAATTTGTTATATGTCCAATCACACTTTTTCTCAGGTAGATTTTCATGACGTTGAAGCAAGAACACTGGCTGAGAGAAAGAGACAAGAGGAGAAACAGAAGAGATTGGAAAGAATTTACAAAGAGAGGCTTGAAAAGGCCAAAGAGGAGATGGAAGGTACATTCTTGTGTTCATAAACGGCACTGACACGACACTCTTAAAAATAAAGCTTCCAAAAGTGGGATTTAGATGAAGCTCAAAGAACCCTTCAGGGATCAGCTCTTAAAAGAACCATTTTTTTCTGATCGTGAAAAACATTTGAATTATCTAAAGAACCATTTTCCTTTATACTTACTTAATAATGTTGGGTTAAAAATAACCCAAACGGGTAACCCAACTATAGCACCTTCCCGACTGTTGGCCATTTTAACCCAGTGCATTGGTTAAAAGTAACCCAACAGTTAAGTTAACTATTTATTTTTATTTATGACATTATTTTAATAAATAAAATACACTTTGTTTTCAAATACAGATTGTTTATTTGCATAAAACAATAAATATGTCTCAACAAATATTTTTTTAAATTACAAACTAAATATCGGGGAGTCTAGAATATAATGTAAACATACATAATTGTGTACATAAATTCAAAATACACAAGTGTATACAACATACGTATTTAACCCAACAGCCGGGTTATTACAAGAAATTACCCAACGATTTAAAAAATGACCCAACATTTTTGGAAAATAACCCAACATAGTGTAACCCAATATGTGTAACCCAATGGTTGGGTTAGAAAAAATAACCCAACATTTTTTACTGTGTAAAGAACCTTTTTTCCAATGCAAAGATTCTATGGATTCTAAAGAAACTTATATTTTAAAGAGTGTAGAAAAAAATAGCATAAACTGACTGCAGTTTCATTTATGACATTCTAAGGCCATACTGTCATAAGACATAAGACCTGTAGTTGACTGGACAAGCGGGTCAACAGTAGGATGTGAAAAGTCAACACAGAGTTCACTATGTTTGAACAGTGTGGTACTGAGGACATGCAGTTCTCCTGATAACACGGACACAGGTTTTGTCCCGGGTCTGTGAAAAAAAAAAGACAATCCGTCTATCTACAGATAAGTACTTAAACATGAAAATAAATGAATAAAATTAACAAAATAAATAATAATAAAATAATTCTAGAATTATTTATACATTATTTCATTATATATGTACAGTTTTTTTTTTTTCATTTTAAATAAACGTCATTTTTATGCAACTTCTCCTCTAAAGGGCCGTTTACACGACTCAGTCTAAAACTTTCGGTGTGTTTTGGCGACAATGCCGTTTTTGCGGCCTAAAAACCCCAAACTTTTGAAAACGGGGTTCAAAGTGCAAGTTTTTGAAAATGATACCATTATTGTCTCTCAAAAACGTGAATTTGTGTAAACGGTGACGTCTTGTGTATTATGTGTTCAGTCTATGGGTGCGTAGTGTTTCTTTACAAACTGACATCGCCATCTACTGGCCTGGCAGCAGAATACAGCGAGGGAAATTGTTTTCATGGATCCGTGTGAACGTGGATCGTTTAGACAACGTGTCGTATGTACGCGAAAAACACAAAGGAAAATTTTTTCCGATTGTCGCGTAAACGTACCCTAAACCTTAAAGGGGCTGTGTGTATAATCCAGAAGCCCTTGTTATTAGCGACACCGGTGGCCGTTAAGGGAACTGCAGCAGCACTTATTGCTCGCACTCGTGCACACATAACTCACAAGAGACTGATCGTGATTCAATACCCGATATACTAACAGCGAAGGTCTGTTTCGTTCTCCGCTTAGATGTAAGCAGACGTGTGAAATACCTTTACTGTTAGTGAACATCCAGACGCTAATGAGAGCGACGTTTAGATGAATATGTAAATGTGCTGCACACTTTCCTCTCAATAACGCAATAAACACAACAGAAATGACAGCGGTGAGAACACAGCGGTTCAGGAAGCTCCTGATCTCAGTGATGTGGAAATGTGTGCAGCGGATCTGAGACTCAGCGGCCTCATGGCGACAGATGAGGTCATGTGTCACACCGTTTGATTATAAAGTATATTTAGGCGATATAGATCTGACTATGTGAGACTATAGTTTGAATGAATCCCTTTTCTTTGGATGACACATTTGACATTACAGTGCAGAACGGCTCTTTCGGCATTCCTGTCTTGTGTCGTCATTCTTGGGAGCGTAAACGTCACAAAACATTTTGATTTTCCCAGCAACAGTGAGTCCTTCACATAAAAATCAGTCTACAGGCTTTCATAGACTACCTAGGAAGTCTCGAAGGTCTTGTTTTTTAGGTTTTGTCATAAGCTGTTCACACATTGGCAATAGAAAAAAAAATGAATACATGGAAATGTTTACATTTAGGGCTGGCAATGTGGCAAATGGTCCAGTAATGCCACAACACTGTTCATAATGCAAAGTAACACTTCAGTCTTTGAGCCGATCGAGTGGAAGTGCACTATTGGCCTGTCGTCTACATTTATCCACATGTGTCTCGCTGAGTAATCCCTGGAAGTTGCCATGTTTGTATTTCCACACATTCTGGATAGTAAAGTAAACATTCCCCATCCAGTCTCTGCTTTTGTACAAGGTGCTGAACATAAATTCCTGTTTTACATGAACAACATACAGTAGAATTTACACACAAGTACATCGTTGTTTATGTAAAACAGGAATGTATGTTCAGCACGTTATCTTCTGTACAGTATCAAACATCAGATCAGCTCACAGTCGAGGTGAATATATTAGAAATACCAGTGTGTTCATTCTGAAAACAGATGCATGTGTTTATGAGTCCTATACAGTATTACAGGCTCGTCTTATAGTACCACTTTCTGGGATTAAATCACTTTCTGCTGATAATCCCACATATAATACAGTAGGCACACCTATCTCTGCGATGTCTGTATTGCTTATCTTGTGCAAATTGAAAAAAATATTACAGACATCCACAGTAACACAGTAATGCTTTCACATATATTATGTCCTTGAAAACCAATCCTGTCCGACTGATACACAGCACACTGGGTCATTCACGATATCATCTGTTCATTGACGCCCTGCGGTTGGGCTTGCTAATATATGTTCTGAACGGCTGTCATTAAATGCACAGATATTTAAATTATGTGCATGTAAACCTTGTGTACAATTTACATTACATTACCTCTATTCCTGGATGTCTGGTTGCAATTAAGCTTTTTTTTTTTTTACTGCATATGTTAAGCTTTCACAGCTCCACCAAGAATCAATATTAATAAATATCAATATTGTTAAGCAAATAATTTTTATGATGGTTAAACATCAAGAGACAGTTTCCAGGACATGCTTTAAAATAAATGAACTATATCCTGGAAAAGATATAATATTGTAAAAAAAAAAAAATCTGCTAAATATTTACCTCAATAAATCAATATTTTCAATGAATAACTTCTTGACTACAAAGGCCTTGCCACAAGTAGTTATTGACTTGCTTTGAAAAGTAAAAGGTAGGTGAAATTTTATATTTAGGTTTTTTTACAGTCACTTATTATTAAACCATTGATGTCATTGTTTCGAAAACGCTAACACGTTTCCCAATTCCCTCTCTATTAGTCCTTTTAAACTGATGTATTTATGTGTACCATTATGGAAAAATATCACATATTTTGTACTACAATATTTAATAATTAATTTCTACTCCTCTGAGACAATTGTTTAATTATGTTAATACCCGGGAAATGTTTTTTAATCAAGGTAATCCAATTTTAATTTTAGATAAAAAATAAAATAAAAATAGGAAAATTGGGTCCTAATTAGTTTCTATTTTAAATAATTAAGTATGGATATATATAAATAAATAATACATATTTTAAGTAGGGTTTTCACCACAAAAATAGCCAAAGAAGCTGGCATGGCATAAAAAAAAACAATAAACAAAATTTAATGACTGATGTGATATGATATGTGAAGCTGTGGGTATCTTGTATATGCATGATTTAAATGAATGTTCCTACTGTATTTATTGTTAAATTAGTTATTTTCACTAATTATACTGTTAATTTTTAAACATTTGAATGCACAATGCAGGTTTAGTGCATTGGACTGGCTGTGATGACTGTTTTGTGGCTAGAGTTTTGAAAAATTACATGATGTTTCTGAAATTAGTGCCAGAGTGATTGTAAAAACGAACACAAACTGCATTCAAAAAAGAAGTACTAGTGATGCTTGCCTTGATTATGTTTTGACACCTGGTTAAAAAACTATGGATTTAACCATTGATCCATAGTTAAAGATGAGAAAGCAGTGTGCATTCCCTAGCTAAAATGCTTGTTTTTCTGTCTCTTTCATTAAGAAATGACGACTGGGATTGAGGAAACCTTGACTGAGATGAACAACTGCATAAAACTGCTTGCAACCGATGACTTGAACCTGTTTAACGAGGAAGCAGAAGTCGCTAACAGCTCTGCGGGAGCCGAGGACAAATCTGACCAGCCCTGCTGCAGTAAAGACCTGAGCAATGAGCAGAACGCAAAGATGTCAGAGAAGAGGAGCGATGAAGGGCACACAGACGAGTCTAGTGACGAGAGTGACACGGGGGAAGTTCCTGATGTGAATGTGTTTCTCCGCAGCTCTGGTTTAATGTCTTACAAATATCAGCTGGAGCTCAATGTGTCCACAGGTGCGCCTGACTGATCGTGTTCACAGCCGGTCTGATGATATGTGTCCTCCATCATGTCATAGCATGCCATGGAATTCTCATTGGGAGATTTTGTGAGTAACCATCTGAATCATGTCCGCAGATTTACAAGTGAGAGAGACGGAAGAGAACGAGGCGTTGGTAAACACAGTGAGGGATCTTCATAGACTCGTCACCACCAGACACCTGCCTCTGGTGCAGTCCTGGATCCAGGTAAACCCTCCGACCGCTTAAAGGAATCATTCATCCCCAAATTAACAATCTGTCATTGTTTATTCAGAAGGAGATGCTTAGCAGAATGTTCAAGCTGCTCTTTTACACACAACTTTGTTTTTTAATCCAATTTAAAATTTCCAATGTAAAAACATTTTAAAGTGCCCCTATTCTGCGTTTTTGGATGTTCCTTTTCGTGTAGTGTATAATGTAGCTGTTTGTGAATGTAAAAGGTCTGAAATGTTACAAAGATCAAAGTGCAGATAAATGTAGTGATTGTGATTGTGAAAGAACTGATTCTGAAATGAGTCGTCAGTAATAACATCTACTTTGCCCGGCCCTCAGACACTGTAGTTGTAGCTAAAACTGGAAGAGTTTGGTTTTTGTTGTTCATGTCGAGAAGACGCTTGAAGATGCAGATCATCTGACCAATCAGAGCAGAGTAGACCAATCACAGCAGAGTAGACCAATCAGAGAAGAGTAGACCAATCACAGCAGACTGGTCCATCTGACCAATCAGAGCAGAGTAGACCAATCACAGCAGACTGGGCCATCTGACCAATCAGAGCAGACCAATCACAACAGACTGGGTCATCTGACCAATCAGAGCAAAGTAGACCAATCACAACAGACTGGGCCATCTGAGCAATCAGAGCAGAGTTGACCAATCACAACAGACTGGGCCATCTGACCAATCAGAGCAGAGTAGACCAATCACAACAGACTGGGTCATCTGACCAATCAGAGCAGAGTAGACCAATCACAACAGACTGGGTCATCTGACCAATCAGAGCAGAGTAGACCAATCACAACAGACTGGGCCATCTGACCAATCAGTCCAGAGTAGACCAATCACAACAGACTGGGCCATCTGACCAATCAGAGCAGAGTAGACCAATCACAACAGACTGGGTCATCTGACCAATCAGTCCAGAGCAGACCAATCACAACAGACTGGGCCATCTGACCAATCAGTCCAGAGTAGACCAATCACAACAGACTGGGCCATCTGACCAATCAGAGCAGAGTAGACCAATCACAACAGACTGGGCCATCTGACCAATCAGAGCAGAGCAGACCAATCACAACAGACTGGGCCATCTGACCAATCAGAGCAGAGTAGACCAATCACAACAGACTGGGCCATCTGACCAATCAGAGCAGAGTAGACCAATCACAACAGACTGGGCCATCTGACCAATCAGAGCAGAGTAGACCAATCACAACAGACTGGGTCATCTGACCAATCAGAGCAGAGTAGACCAATCACAACAGACTGGGCCATCTGACCAATCAGAGCAGAGTAGACCAATCACAACAGACTGGGCCATCTGACCAATCAGAGCAGAGTAGACCAATCACAACAGACTGGGCCATCTGACCAATCAGAGCAGAGTAGACCAATCACAACAGACTGGGCCATCTGACCAATCAGAGCAGAGTAGACCAATCACAACAGACTGGGCCATCTGACCAATCAGAGCAGAGTAGACCAATCACAACAGACTGGGCCATCTGACCAATCAGAGCAGAGTAGACCAATCACAACAGACTGGGTCATCTGACCAATCAGAGCAGAGTAGACCAATCACAACAGACTGGGCCATCTGACCAATCAGAGCAGAGTAGACCAATCACAACAGACTGGGCCATCTGACCAATCAGAGCAGAGTAGACCAATCACAACAGACTGGGCCATCTGACCAATCAGAGCAGAGTAGACCAATCACAACAGACTGGGTCATCTGACCAATCAGAGCAGAGTAGACCAATCACAACAGACTGGGCCATCTGACCAATCAGAGCAGAGTAGACCAATCACAACAGACTGGGCCATCTGACCAATCAGAGCAGAGTAGACCAATCACAACAGACTGGGCCATCTGACCAATCAGAGCAGAGTAGACCAATCACAACAGACTGGGCCATCTGACCAATCAGAGCAGAGTAGACCAATCACAACAGACTGGTCCATCTGACCAATCAGAGCAGAGTAGACCAATCACAACAGACTGGGTCATCTGACCAATCAGAGCAGAGTAGACCAATCACAACAGACTGGGCCATCTGACCAATCAGAGCAGAGTTGACCAATCACAACAGACTGGGTCATCTGACCAATCAGAGCAGAGTAGACCAATCACAACAGACTGGGTCACCTGACCAATCAGAGCAGAGTAGACCAATCACAACAGACTGGGCCATCTGACCAATCAGAGCAGAGTTGACCAATCACAACAGATTGGGCCATCTGACCAATCAGAGCAGACCAATCACAACAGACTGGAACATCTGACCAATCAGAGCAAAGTAGACCAATCACAACAGACTGGAACATCTGACCAATCAGACCACAGCAGGCTCTCGGAAAGGCGGGGTTTAGAGTCCGAATCCTTTATCAAACTGTTTCAGACTGTGAGAACAGAGCTGATGCTGCAGTGGATGTTATGAGAAGATTAATGTGTTAATCTTTGACCTTGGATGCCTGTAAACCTGTTTGAGGACACTCCAAAACAAAAATAGCATAATAGGGGCACTTTAACTTTTAGCTGTCTCTGTCTCTGTTGAATACTGCACATTTTGGCCAAGGGCTGAATTCACGTCATCAGGTTGTTCCAGTAATGGGTCATACAGGCATTTGAAGTACTATGGTATTTTTAGATTAGTTACAGGTAGACTTTCTGCAGCCTTGAAGCTGTCAGTCATCAGGTGGAAACAGGCTCTCCGGGAGAATGATCAAGCAGACACATAGACCGTGAAGTACCATAATATTATCAAGTTTATTAAGGAAGAAGAGTCATATTTATACACAAGCAGGGTCATCCACACTATCCAGGCCATCCAATCATAGTGCTCAAAGATCAACCCCTACCATATATGGCATATGAAGAGATACAATAACAAGAGAGGTTAGATGTTCAAATATTTGTGTGAGGCTTGAGTTCTTGTTTGTGTGCATACGTGTGCGTGTGTCAGATTGCGTGTATAAGTGTGTCCAAGGCCTAGTTCTGGCTTTGTCTAGCTGTGTTCATGATGTACACATAAGATAACGAAAAGTTACACAAGAATATTCAAAAGTGGAGGCTGAGAAATAAGAAAATATGAATATGGTATACTGTAGAAATAGTAAGAGTAGTATGATATTATACAGTTACATTACAGAAAAAAGAAAAGGGGGTAACACTTTACTTGAAGGGGTGTGCATAAGACTGACATGACACCTTCATAATCATGACATGACACAGGAGGGTTTATGCATGTTTATGACAACTGTCATTAAGTGTCTTTCGCTCAATTATGACATTTTGAATGCAAATATGACATTGTTTGAGATGTCTTGGTAATGACACCTTGACATAAACCAATACATCATAACCCGTCAGTGTCTTTGTCATGACAACTTGACTTTACTAAGACAACATAAATTGTCATAAATATGTCATAAACATGACATAGCAGATTAATTATCAAGCTTTATGGGTTAACATTACATTAAACTGTCATGTGGTTGGTTTTGACATTGGCTGTCATGAGGCATTATAACTGTCATAAATATTTTTTTGACCTCAACTACAGTGGTACACATTGAATTTGTCATTAACATGTTATAATGGCCTCATGACAGCCAATGTCAAAACCAACCACCTGACAGTTTAATGTAATGTTAACCCATAAAGCTAAGTGCTTTCTTAAGTTTGACAATTAATCTGCTATGTCATGTTTATGACAGGTTGTGTTGTCTTAGTAATGTCAAGTTGTCATGACAAAGACACTGCAGGTTATGATGTATTGGTTTATGTCAAGTTGTCATAACAAAGACATCTCAAACAATGTCATATTTGCATTAAAAATGTCATAATTGAGCGAATGACACTTAATGACAGTTGTCATAAACATGCATAAACCCTCCTTCATATTCATGACGTGTCATGTCATGATTATGAAGGTGTCATGTCAGTCTTATGCACACCCCTTCAAGTAAAGTGTTACTGAAAAGGGTTTAAATTGTCAAGTCACGTTTATTTATATAGCCAGTGATAACAGGAAAATGATGATCAATGATGCAAACAGAATTCAGCTTTCTTTCTTTTTTATCTTTTTTTTTCATATTGCTCTTCAACCTTTGGATTTTTCTTTCATACATCTTATAACTGTACTATTTACTTGAACAAAGTGTGTTTTGTGATGTGTTTTACAGGTCTTTACAAAAGTAGGCGTTGAGGAAGAACTGATGAGGAGAGCCACCGAGTTGAAGAAATCTCTGGAGCTCGCCTTGAGGAAACATGAGGATCTTCATATAGACTACAAGAACAGAGAGAGAAGAGTGGTGAGATTGTTTTCCAGACAGATTCGTTTTTTCAGGCTTTTTTGCACTGATTCTGAGGGTAAAGGCTCGTACACACCGGGACGAATATCGGTAGGGATGTCCCGATCAGGTTTTTTTGCCTCCGAGTCATTTGATTTTGAGTATTTTCCGATACCGAGTCCCGATCCGATACTTATATAATACATAAAAAAAAAACAAAGAAGAGAGAAAAAACAGATCCAGGATGTTCCTTATTTTTTTATTTAATTCACCTTATTTTAACATTCAACAACTCTGTTAACAAACAGAGCACTTCTGTGAGGTAGCTTGAACATCAAGTAATAAATAACATAAAATCTTCACTTTTGGACTTTAGTGCAACAGTAAATATAGAAAAAGTCTAATATAAAAACAAATAGCACCTCAACTTAAAATACCCGCAGGCATGTAAACAAAAAATAAAAATGTTTTAAAAGTGTATAACAAAATAATGAGAATATATATACATTAGGGGTGTAACAGTTCACAAAATTTGCGGTTCGGTTCGATACGATACAGCAAAAAGAAAGAAATGCCAGAGAAATTTCCTATTTATTAAAAGAAAAACTATTTTTAAATAAGTGTGAGTTTTCCTACATCTTGAAACTTTCAGGTTTATAAATGGGGGTAATCTTTGAAGGATGAACAAATAATGTTTTGGTCATCACATTAAAAATAACATTTAAATATATATTTATATAGTATTTGAGTTTTGAAGTGCAACATTAAATCCATGTTCAGTTACGGCACAATGTTTCTCCTGGTTCCCACGTCAGCACTGTTTGATCTAATAGAGATCTACGGTTAATAATGGAGAAATGTGAATGCTTCTCACTAGATCTCGCAGCGATGTTATTACTTCAGTGGCGAATTCAAATGTTTTCTTCACTGGATCTCTCAGCACAGTGTCGCTTGATCTCGCGCTGCACAGATGTTGCTGGTCCGAACTGATAAATGGTCCGTTAAGCACAATATAATGAGTAGCGCAGTTTCGTTACGCTTTCATTACGCTTGCCATTTGATGTTGCGCAACCTTGTGGTGATCGCGCCAGCGCGGATTTTGTCGGCAGGAAAAATGGTCCTAGGAATCGTTCTGTTTGTGTGCGTACCGAACCGGTTCAATAATTACGAATACATGTACCGCGTTACACCCCTAATTTACATATATCCGAGTCCTGATCGGGAGGTAACGTCCGATTCCGATCGAGTCTGAAACCACGTGATCGGGCCCGATTTCAACCGATCGGGTTTCAACCGCAGCACCCGAGACAAACTCTCTGCTCCTCACCACGGCGCGTCTCGGGTGCTGCGGTTATCACTCCGCCCAAGTAGCAGTGCTTCGCCTTCAGAGAATATAGTTCCCAGTATTTATACGGTTAAAATATGTCTGTGTCTCATGTGACTTTGTTTTTTGTACACTCTGTGACTATACAAATCACAACATGTAAATGGAAACATGTTTGCGTTATTTTGTCACTTATTTGGATTAGTATGCTAGCTGCAACCATTTACATCCAGTCTTTGTGCTAAGCTAGGCTAGCGGTGGGTGCGTCAAACAGACTTATAGCACGCACGGAGATGAAAAAGGTATGCATGGACTTTTCTAACTCTGGGGGATAAGGTGAATAGGCTAAAGTCCCAAAAAGTCGGAGTGTTCCTTTAAACGTCGGCGAATATCGCGCGCGAAATTCGTCCCGGTGTGAACTGGCCTTAAATCTGCCATTTTAACACTATTAAATGCATAGTACTAGCCTCTCTCAGCCTGCGGATCCCGGTATAGCTGAGCGTGTCCTGCACTGTGTTGAGTGGCTCTGCACCTTCAGTTGACTGACAGACAGGTGTTTTCTGTTCGTGTCATGCTGCACTACTCAAGCCAGTTTCTTATTCGTCCATCTAAAACAGTGGTTCTCAACCCTGTCCTGGCGTACCCCCAACACTACACGTTTTCCTTGTCTCCCTAATCAAACACACCTGATTCAACTCATCAGCTCATTATCACATGGGTTAATGAGCTGATGAGTTGAATCAGGTGTGTTTGATTAGGGAGACAAGGAAAACTTGTAGTGTTGGGGGTACGCCAGGACAGGGTTGAGAACCACTGATCTAAAAGGAGTTTACCATGCCAAATATCAATTTTGATTTAATGGGGTCCTATTATGCTTTTTTCAACTTTAGTTAGTGTGTAATGTTGCTGTTTGAGCATTAAAAAAAAAAAGATCTGCAAGGTTACAAAAACCCATTGTAGTCTTGAGTTTCTTCCGGGAACGATCACGTCACAATATTCCTCATTATAATAATTCATATACGCAGAATAAAGGGGCGGGGCCTGGTTGAGTTAGTTAGTAGTGTGTTAAACTGGCGGTTATGGTAAGGGGCGGGGCATTTCCCAAACACACTCGAAGCGCTCGACCAATCACAACACACTGCTTCAGCCGACCAATCAGAGCACAGTGTGCTTTTCAGAAGGAGGGGCTTCATAGAGACAGGAAGTAAACAGAGCGTTACTGACAGACTGGGAAGAGAGGAGCCGCAACAATGGAGAATATGAGGAAAATAATCAACATTCAAGCAGGAAAACCTGAAACAACATCATAAGAGGCCATAATAGATCCTCTTTAAATCATCTTTTGTTTTTAACCTTATGCAAAGCAGCTACAACAAAGCTAACTTATATATTAAATAAAAAATATTAAAATTAAAGCTGCAAGCAGCATTTAGCGGTGTTCAAGCAGTTAAGGCCGTTAAGCACAAAAGCATCAAAAGACATTAAGTTTTATTTAGCATAGATTTAAACACTGACATAATAGATGGAAAACACCATTTACAGCCAATACAGGCAATTTACCATAGGAAATATATAGTTTTAAAGCTTTTTAACAGTTATAGCGCCACCTATGGTCCGATCTCCATGAAGCTTTGCATGCTTCTTCACCATGTTATGACACATTATGCTCATCAATTTTTGTGAAGTTCTGAGTTTTTATTGATGATTTATAGGCTTTTGATTGTATTGTACTGTATTGTATGACCCTGTTACAGCCACCCAATTGCAAAATGTCACATTTTTTCCGATAATTATTGATCTAGAGAGTCCAGAGAATAAGCCTAGACTGGTCTGGTTCCGATCAGGCGAAAAACCAGGGACTGGTTCGCAAAAGTAGGTTTTAGACAAATTCCACATTGCAGAACATTTTTAGACCAACGGTCTAGGAGTTATGAGCAATTTAGTACTTTTGGTTGCTGTAGCGCCACCTATGGGCCAATCGGGGTCATACTCTGATAGGTTCTCCCCAGAAGTGTGGCCTACCACCTGGCCAGGTTTCAAGTCTCTAGGCCTCACGGTTTGGGCTGCACGATGCGTTTTAGGGGATTTTTTTTTCTTCAAATAGCAATTACAATAGGTTTTCAGCACTTTGTGCTTGAACACCTAATTAATAATACCATAGATTTATTTTTCAAGTTTACATACTGTACATACATACATCAAGTTTATAACCTATTTTCTTTTCCGCAAATAAAAATGGATATGTGGTTATTCGTCCATTTTACCATTGCTAAAATCATCAAACCTACAATTGATTGTTCTGTGCTGAGTGTGTTGTAAGATGACATGCAGCACAACACACACATACAGCAGAAGCTAGTATAACACAGCAGCTGAGCAGTAACGCATTATTCCCAGAGGAGGGCGCCCTTTCCTCACACATCACTGCAGTTTAGTGGAAGTACTGTGCCTGGGAGGATCATGTTTGTGATCCAGGTGCACCACTAGATGAGAAGAGTTGAGAATATGGGTGTACTGTACCTACAGTTTTAGATTACAGTGTTTATGGTATTTTTGGTGTACCATCTTTGCATGGAGATTCGCTCCAGTGCGGCGGGGCACGGCTCATGTGCTAATGGAGATTTGCTCAGCCTAGGGTGGAATGGGACACAGCGAGCAGTTAGAAGACACATCATTATGACACATGTTATCCGTTTTTAACTGGGCGAAAAGAACAGAGAAAGGAGGGGCGTGACATTGACAGAGCACTCGACTGCATGCCAGAGAGGTTTATCACTCTCAGTGATGATTTCAATGCAAAAAGTCAGTGCTCTGTGATAAAGAAACAGCTAAAAGGTCTTTATCATAATTAGTTTTTCCTTTTTACTCTTAAAAGCGTTCCATTACTTTATTCCCTGTATCATTGCTCTGACACGGGGGGAAATTGCTTCCAACTCCTTAAACTCCTGCCTGTCTGAGAAAGGTGTAAAATTACTATTTATCATTTTTTTTTATTAGATTTTCAGAGTAAAAAAATAATAAAATAAATCTGTGTGAACTGACCACTTAAAATCACCAGCTGGTTAAGAGATTGAGATAAAACGAAGATCATTGCTTTGACGTTTGCATCTAATGCAATGACAGTCATACATTTGATCGTGACTTAGGTGATCTAATACATTTTGGGTGAAACTGTAGTTCGGTTATAATCTTAGTAATTATGAGGTGTACTCTAATAAATGACAAAATCAAGATCTGAACTCCCAGCACATGCAGCTTTGCATAAGGCCCATTATCCTGAAATATCCGGTGTTTATTTTGCATGCTTTTATTTGTCATCACATGGAAGAAATGACACCTTTTGGTCCCTCATCATGATTAAACACAGTGCTGGGTCGAAGTGTTCATTTTGTCGGCTGGTTTAGTCCTGTGTCAAATGTACTTTTTAGTTGTCATCATATTTAGTCAACCTTGTCCTAGTTTTGTTTAGTCGAGTTTAAACTAAATGTCTCTATTTAGTTTTAGTCAATGAAAACTTAAGCAGAATGTCAACCCATACGCCTGGTTTATTTGACCTCTGAATTTATTATAGGCTATTTATCATATACTGGTAAAACAAGACACTCCTCTCAGAAATTAAAACGGTGAAATTCCTAATAATCCAATAATTAAAAAATACATTCATGTTTTTCTATTAAAACAACAGCAAAAAAGACTC